GTATAAATGTGTAAATCTATTTATTTCATATATACATATTTATTTATTAGAAAATGTTCGAGATTAAATTTATTGTTTCGTGAACTGTTGATTCAGATCAGTGGGGTTGTACACTTGTATTTCACATCGAGAATCTTTGGGGCTCACACGCAAGTCGGCAACACTAAACATATAGCAATATCTTGCGAAAATAACATGGTTATAGGATTGGTAGTGCCAAAGTTCCACATGGTGAAAATTATCGTAAAGTTGTCTAGTCTGAAGAGTCCATGTAATTTAACAGTTCGGCAATTCAAAAGGATTATAAATTTACATATTTTTAGTTATAGGCAACTAGTTTATTTTTCTAGCTTTAAATTATTTGAATGTGGACATATGTATAGTTATGAAAAGTCATAAATACTTATAAACAAACTATATTTTTACACTATATATTTACTTGAAATTCATATAGTCACCTGATTTTTCATATGTATGATGTATCATAATATATATAAATATAATTAATAAAATAATTAGATTACTTTATTTCTTAGGTCAAAATAATGTAAATTTCTCTCTAAATAAGTGTGTTTTGAATTGTGAAGCGCGTGGGAAGTAGAGGATAGTAGAAATGGAAGGAAAAGAAGAGAATGTGGGTCTGTGCCAGCCAACCTAACACTCTTAATTACTCTCTTACTTCTAATAACAACCCTTCTTGTTGGCTTCTCATTTTCTTAATCTTTTTGTAATCACAATATGTAAATTATTATTTTGAAAGTCTTAATCAACCGAATAATATTCGATAGGTCCAAGCACGTGTACAGGTTGGTCCATATTTGCTACGTACGTGTGCCAAGCTATAATACAGGACGTGTGGAATCTTTTATTTTGTTTCCATTCCATGACAAGATTATTAGTAGTCTTCTCTTTTTTTTCTTAATCAATAAATTGTTAACTATATATCCGTGAACCGTTCGCGTTATATTTGATGTTTAATATATATTAGTCCTCTAGCGATAAAGGCAGTTTTCGGTTTCATGTGGCTCTTAAGGAGATTATTTTTATTTATTTAAAACGTTTTTATACTTAAATTTCAATGGTGGAAAAAGATGATTGAACATCAATTGTCGAAACTGGTAGATATATTTTCGTAGGTGGG